TTTAATTGAAAGCCTACCATGAATAAGGGGAGCTCTGATAGCATAATGCTTAAGGCACTTGACTGCTAACCAGAAGGCTGGCGGTTCAAACCCACCAGCCTGCCTCGGAAGGAGGGTTGGGCAATCTACTTCCATTGTGATACTGCCTCGGAAACCCAAGGAGGGGTCATTATGAGTCGGTCTGACTCAATGGCAAATAACAACAACCATGAATAAGAATCTGGAAACACAATCCCAAATCTAGAGGAGTTCATCTTCTTGTGGGAGATGTAAAGGTCAACCAGAAATCGGAGGAAGCAAATTAACTCAATTTAGGAGAATTAAGAAAGGTTCCACAGAGGAGCTGAGATTTTAAACTCAGTGTTAAATGATGAGTAGAAGTCCATCAAAGGTAGTGACACTGGGAAGGGGAGAGAGTATTCCACCACAGAGAGAATACAATTTGCAAAGAGAGACTGAGGATCATAAGTAGGTGTTCTTTTCCTTTTTGTCTAGAATGGAGGGTGCTTTGGAAACAGTAGTAACAAATTGGGTTGGTTGAATCCATATGGTAAGGTATAATATTATATTCTCTTCTTATTTCCATGGGCTTAGTAACATTATCACATGGCAAGGCAGTGGTGGGCATGATTATCAGAGAACAATCCGAATAAGATAGAAGAAGCAAAAGCTCAGAGGCCTTGAGGTTGAGATTATACAGTGGTGAACCCCCTTATTGAGTTGATTCTGATTCATAGCTACCTTCTCTGGTTTCCAAGGCTGTAAATCTTACAGAAGTAGACTGCCTCATCTTCCTCCCACAGAGCAGCTGGGGGTTTGAACCATCGACCTTACCCACTATGCCAAAATAACTTACCCACTATGCCACCAGAGCTCCTTATATAATGGTAATGAGAGTATAATGAGACAAAATCTGTCTCCATTAGAAAGAGAGAAAATAACAATTTATGGTTTCAGGGACCCTGTTCAGTATGACTATTTAATCTTCAAATAGATCTGTGTGAACATTTTGTCATTTAAGTATCTTTTTATGTTCTCTTAGTT